AAAAAAAAAAAAAAAAAAAAAAAAAAACAAAAAAAAAAAAAAAAAAAAAAAAAAAAAAAAACCAGACTCATTCAAGAAGATGACATTCGCTTGTAAGCACCGGGTGATTGGTTCGCCTCAAGCACACATGAACCATCCATCAGACCTAGAAATAATTGATCATGTAGATGGCTTACCCAAAGCGATCTATGACAATTTCCAGAGATGAATTGAACTTCCCTTTCAAAAGCTGAGATAACTGTTCGGATGAGTTACCATAGCAACTAGACAATTATTTAATAAACTTTGATTTGCATTTCTTTTTTTTTAAGAGGCTGTGTTTTATTGTGAGTTTTGTTGTGTTTTATAATTTATTTGTTTTTTTAAATTGTAATTTATAGTGGCTTTTGTTGTGTTATATTGTGGTTTTTGCTGTTTTTTATTGTGGCCTTAGGTGAAGTTTATGAGGCTTTTGTTTTATATAATTGTGGCTTTTGGTGTATTTTATTGTGGCTTTTGGTGTATTTTATTGTGGCTTTTGATGTATTTTATTGTGGCTTTTGGTGTATTTTATTGTGGCTTTTGGTGTATTTTATTGTGGCTTTTGGTGTATTTTATTGTGGCTTTTGGTGTATTTTATTGTGGCTTTTGTTGTATTTTATTGTGGCTTTTGGTGTATTTTATTGTGGCTTTTGATGTATTTTATTGTGGCTTTTTGCATTTTATTGTGGCTTTTGTTGCATTTTATTGTGGCTTTTGTTGTATTTTATTGTGCTTTGTTATATATTTATTGTGGCTTTTGTTGTATTTTATTGTGGCTTTTGTTGCATTTTATTGTGGCTTTTGTTGTATTTTATTGTGGGTTTTGGTGTATTTTATTGTGGCTTTTGTTGTATTTTATTGTGGCTTTTGTTGTATTTTATTGTGGGTTTTGTTGTATTTTATTGTGACTTTTGTTGTATTTTAATGTAGCTTGTGTTGTATTGAAATGCTAAAAAACAATACCTCCTTGCAATATCGATAAAATTTAACATTAAAAAAAAATTTAATATTTTAATCAGTTCAAAACCATTAAAATATGATTTCGAAAAGAGGGATTATTTTTTTCTCCTCCCACTTTTTTTTTTTCTTCTTTTTTTTTTTTTTTTAAAGTTTAAAGAAGAATGTTACAAGCAGTCAAGAAATAAACATTTGAAGTTGTATATATTCCATATTTTGAGAACCACGATTTAATTTTAAATAATTCCCAATGCTCACTAAATGAATCTTAATGATCGTCTCTTTACATTGACCGAATCCGACGGTTCTTTTCCAGCGACTGGACGGCTCCTTGAAACTAAAACTAACAACTGATTAGAATAACGACGAATGGCAGAAACTCAGTCACATTAACCGATCGAGTTCGGATAATTGATTGCCAAATTGGCAGGGAGACACAAACGTTTTACAACAGTGTATTTGGATTAGCGACAGTAACAGCTAAAATCACCAGCGTCACATTAGCGACAATAACAGCTAAAATCATCAGCGTCACATGCGTCACATTAGCGACAATAATAACTAAAATCATCAGCGTCACATTAGCGACAGTAACAGCTAAAATCATCAGCGTCACATTAGCGACAGTAACAGCTAAAATCATCAGCGTCACATTAGCGACAGTAACAGCTAAAATCATCAGCGTCACATTAGCGACAGTAACAGCTAAAATCATCAGCGTTACATTAGCGACAGTAACAGCTAAAATCATCAGCGTCACATTAGCGACAGTAACAGCTAACATCATCAGCGTTACATTAGCGACAGTAACAGCTAAAATCATCAGCGTTACATTAGCGACAGTAATAGCTAAAATCATCAGCGTCACATTAGCGACAATAATAGCTAAAATCATCAGCGTCACATTAGCGACAATAATAGCTAAAATCATCAGCGTCACATTAGCGACAATAATAGCTAAAATCATCAGCGTCACATTAGCGACAGTAATAGCTAAAATCATCAGCGTCACATTAGCGACAGTAATAGCTAAAATCATCAGCGTCACATTAGCGACAATAATAGCTAAAATCACCAGCGTCACATTAGCGACAATAATAGCTAAAATCATCAGCGTCACATTAGCGACAATAACATCTAAAATCATCAGCGTCACATTAGCGACAATAATAGCTAAAATCATCAGCGTCACATTAGCGACAATAATAGCTAAAATCATCAGCGTCACATTAGCGGCAATAATAGCTAAAATCATCAGCGTCACATTAGCGACAATAATAGCTAAAATCATCAGCGTCACATTAGCGACAATAATAGCTAAAATCATCAGCGTCACATGAATTGATTGTGTGTGTGTGTGTGGGGGGGGGGGGTTAAGTGAAATTCTTGTACATTTTTACCGGACCCGCAGGCATCAAGGTTGTCAAGACAGAGCGGGTTGATCATTGTGGCCCTCTACCACGTTAGAGCAGGCAGATCACTGTGGCACTAAGTCA